GAGTAGCGCCCTCTCTTGTCTAACCGAAGTGTAACCTCTTGTGATACTGTGGTTCGCTGTTTGCTGGTTTGCTTTTCGCTGTTAAGGTCTCTAAAACTGTATCTGTTGATTATTTTTGTTTTTTATTAAACTTAAGTGACAAAACTGATTTCAAGTTTATCCTAAAAGTCCTGAAGCTACCGCTCAGGATCGATCTCTGATGCATGCTGTGGCAAATCTCAGTGGCTTGTGTAATCTTTAGACTAATGTTAGTACAATGCCGCGGTGCGAGTGCGGTTTTCTTTCACACCTGATCATGCAGAGTCGCAAAACCAGTGTCCATTCAATACATGTACCGCTGGCAGATTAATCATGCGAGCCCTGGCTGTTACTATATGACGACTTCGAACAAGTGCCGACCAATGTACCCAGTTTCTCAGCTAGTTAATTACAATTAACTCTCCAACAACTAGTGGCTTTCCCTTCTAATCCTTGTCACTTTCAAACATAAAGAATCATGACATTCAGGAATTACAAACTGTAACTGCATAGTGTTTGGTAGGTTTTGTGCACAAAATATTGGGAGCCAAGGACAATGTTCGGTACAGCCAATTGATCAGTACAGCGGTGTTCCACTGTAGTAGTAAATTCTTGTGGGAACATTAAACCGACACTCTAATAGGATCAACTCAACTGTTGGAGTGCTGTGAAATATTTCAACATCCAAAGGACTAACTTCACATATACATGTAATTACTCTCTGCACCAATGTCCATATACACTGTAGTATTGTATCCAGGCTCACAAACAGCAGTCAATGCTCAAGATTTGTTGTGTTACTTGATGTGGGTTCTTGGATTTTCATCTTGTACTGGCAGGTTCTTATTCATTGTCTCTATTTCTTATTACTGACATTTTTTCTTTTTTGAAACTATCATGAAGAAAATTCCATGGAGTAAAGATTGCCCAACAATACAGACAATAAAAGTTTACATGTACATGTATGTATATATAAACATGTAGTAGAAGACACAAACCATGCATACCCTCCAGCCTGATGTAATGCAAAGCTCTTCACCATCTGATGACTGCAGCAGGATATTATGGGATATAGGTTGGGCATGACAGGAAATAGGAAAGGTATGGTGGGAATCAGGTGTTGAGGGGTATGACATATCGAGACAAGTGACATTAATGATCTACAATAAGGTTTTTACAAAGCAAAACAGTGGTTTTATAACATGTAACATGGCACTGAGAATTAAAAAAAAATGAACTGTTAAGTGGCTTATATATCAATGCTCAATAAAGACAATTCTACAATTACATATCTTAAAAGGCTAATGATTTTTTAATTTGAATTTCAAGTACAAATTTTTAAGTTTCTATCATTAAAGTTTCATTTGCAAAGAGTAAAATTATGAAACTGAGGAGAATGGAGTGTATCACAGCATGACATAACACATGTAACGTGATGTTCACATTTATAAACTGCCCATAATCATTTACCTCTGGTGACGTTGTATCCTGACTACTTGATGAGTCTGTTTCTGGAAATGAGTAAGCTGAGTCACTTTGTGACATATCAGCAGGAATCTGTAGTGTATCAGGAGGATGGTAAATTTTAGTCTCATCCACCTGACTTCTTAACCCTGAAGTTTCTTGATTATCTGTCTCCATGGAAAAACAAAGGATAAAAGAAAAGAAATTTAAATCTGGAAACAGAATTGGTGAGCAGGAGAAAAGCAAATGTTTCATTGTGCTTGCTCACCGTCTATTAGGGTGGGTGAGTGGGTGTTTGCTTAAAATCTTGTCACTTTGGCCAGTTTAATTGCCCCTCCCATGATATCTTTTATTGTATTCATATTTATTAACCCACTTTCAATGTGTTTTACACTCATTATTCTCGACTGATTTCGAATTTCCAAATCAGCCTCTGGGGTCAAAAAGCTGCAATAATGAACCATAATACAGTGTGTTTTAAAAAAGGAAACCAACATAAAGGTCTTCATTTCTTGGACATGGCTAAATATTTTGGAAATTAGCAACCACAACTTATTAACTAAGGATGTCCTCTTTCTTATCACACCAAGAAATTAAATTTACTGTCACAGATGGGTGAGCACGAAGCACTTCAATCAACCATGTCAGAACTGGTTTTGCACGCAATTCATTGCAACCTAACTCCAACAATTTTCATACTAAAAAAAAGGAAAGACCAGTGTTCTTTTAACAAAATTTTAGTTCAGTGATTTAACATTTGGGTGTTTATGCCTGTCTCAACCTAACCCCATTGTCCTTCACAAAAAGATCTTTAAAAATTGTGCTTACAGAGTACACAGTGTATCAAAAATAAATGACAAAGTGTTCAAATACTGACCTAAGACGTCTCCATGGATGTCACTATTCATCATATCAGTAACAAAGTCATTAAGTGAGGAATAAGAAGAACTACTACTGCTCCCTCCATCTGACTCCTCTCCACTTTCATCAGTAGGGTTTGATGAATCAGACCAAGCCTCATTACCACCACTAGCTGGAATCCCTAAAGTGCAGTTATCAAACTGTACCTGTAATAAGTAAAACAGTTGGTCAGTATACCAATTGCAGCATGTTCACTAACAAGTGTGCTGTCTATTGCAGTGTACATGTACACACAAAATATCAAACCATTTCCAGAGATGAAACTATTTTCAGTGATGGAATGAACAGTGTATTGGAAAGATGGTATAAACACATCTCAAATTGATAATTTACAGGTATAAATCTGACTGAAACTGGCATTTATAACATTTTTAAAGGGTGCATGTACCAAAATCAGACAACTGAACTGCAAAGTATGTACATGTACATGTAGGTTAAAGAAATCGGGCTGTATGAATCAGTTAATGTTGAATATTACTTTCACAGTAAAACTAGTTAACCACTCATATGACCAGTGTATGCACTGAATCAAACTTAGGAGTGCTACATAAAAAACCATCATTCTACATTTAGTGGCACTACTGGAGGTGTGAGTCATACCAAACTTCACCGAGCTGTTCCAAACCAAACTCAGTCCTATCATTTGCTTATCCTTGCAAGCTATATGTATGTATCCTGATTTCCAAGGACTCAGACTTTAAATCAGTCTCGGACAGTCAGGACTCAGACATGGATTCCAACAGTAAGAACTTGGCTACCTCAAGGACTAGGCCTGAGTCTGACCATATTTTAACTTTACATGTACTTTACTGCAATTTCATTAAGTGAAGACTGTGACACAGTTTTCAATTCGTGCCCCAATGCAAATGGAAAAACCTGTACATACATGTAGGTGTGTGTAAGTAAAGTACGAACTAGCTCTATAAGCAACTGTAAACTGTGCTGTGCAGACACACACATACATGTTCATGGTAAGTGCACAGGTACGCTGTACATTGTACAAGTACATGTACATACAGTACATGTACATGTACGTCATTGTGTGGGTGAACAACAGCTTACAGTACCCGTGAAGCTGGTTCACAAATGTAGACTGGTTCCCGCCACGTACATGTACATGTACTATCGACGCCCTTCAGGCAGCAAAGAGAGGTCAGACTTGTGGAATCGGTCTAATGAGACTTTTGTGCCAAACGATCAACTTCAGTACCGTGGTGCATGTATTTAGCATAACATGATTAATCTTGAACTTCAAACTTGGGCATTACTTTTTCAATTTGTATACCCTAGATCCATTTTCATGAATCTGTCTGCTGAAAATTGATAGTGTGAGGATTAAAACGGAAACCTGCAAAAATGTATGAAGCTACAAAATGAGACTGAGGCTAACAAAATGTGCATCACCTGGCTAGCTCATATGTCTGCAACCAAAACAGGCTTCCAAAGTTATAGCTAGTGGCTATGGCTTTTATCAGCATGCCCTTGTACATTTCCAATGTGCAAAGGCCTAGACCTAACCATAGCTTTCTGATCATCCTCCAGCACATGCATATTGTTGGCTGGCTCACAACACGTTTTGCAAGCAATGCCCGTGATCAATCATGTCAGCATTATCCAAACGATTAAGTTCCCAATCACATGGAGTACTCATGCTTCAAAATGGGCAAAAAGCAAGTTTTCCCCTCAGTACATTTAAATTGAAAAAAACTGTAAACACTAGAAACAATGTTTCTTCAAGGCAATGAACATTTTCTAGTTTGAATCTTATGAAATATGCGCTTTGACATTCTTCAAACAAATAACTTTATTCACAAAGGAGTTGAATTGGGGATTTTGACATTTTTATTTCTTATACTTGGGAAGCCTTAATTTCAATTATAAAAAATGAAGATGAAATCTTTCATTCTTTCAGTTGAAATGCACACTACACATTTTGTTGTTGAGTGCACTCCACCTCCAAAGGCGGTCAGAAAGTTAATCTCCAATGATACAAAATATGTCTCAGTTCTCATAAAGTTGAACGCCAATTTGCAATGTGAATGTTCTTGTTATGTTTCCTGATATGTTAAGATATTCTTATGCTGGTCAAGGTTAAAAAAGGTCAAATAAATTCTGCTTCGAATATCCTTTTCAACTGTACGGATGTGTCGCTTGTGAATAACACTCGTGAATTGGTGTCAGTATTGAGAACACTAGGCCCAAAATTAGGCATTCATAAAAGGATGACTCAGACTCGGACACAGGACTCGGACTCAGACAATAAGGACTCAGTGTCAGATTTGGACTCAGATGGCATGGATTTGGACTAGCGTAACAAGGACTCAACCACAGTACTGCATGATTGTTTAGAACAGAAAGAATCAAAATATTGCACAGACCTTGAAGTTGATTGGCTGTAGTTGTTCCAGATACCACTTGGGCTTGTCACCAATGAGTTGAGGGTCATACACTCCAGTGTGGATTCGTAGAAATGTCACATTTGTTGGGTTCAAACAGAATTCACCAAAGAATTCCACAGCCTGCATTAAAGAGAATACATTAACTTCTTTTTGTAGACTGCTACTACATCTACATTGATGTTAATTTCATAATGCCAAAACATTTAACTGTCCAAATATAACTTATAGAATATTTCATACATTAACAGATTACAGTCACGCAAATATTTTCAATATGTCATGCCAAATCTTCCCAAATTAACTGAAACTATGATTCTCTGTTTATTTTTTGACATTTATTACATGAAGTTTTGCGGCTCATATACATTTAAAAAAGCTACCACTCAACCATAATAAACTCCCGTCTCGCCTTAGGTGTTGTTCATGGTTAACATACAAAATTTTGCATAATAAATTGTGTTGCCATGTTGTTTCATTATCTGTTCTCCAAGCTGATATGAAAGGGAATGTGACTTGAAGCTTCTCAGATTTTAATTACAGTCTACTGTGGTGTGCTTCCAGTAAATAGAAAGAAGTAACAGGATGATTGAGATGATCACATTTTTCGAATAGTTCTGTGACACTTATTCATATTAAATGAGGTTCTGTGGCTAATTTGTTTGTCAGGTCAAGTTGATTTGGTTTGGTTTAGGCATCTTGTGAAAACTTGAAATCACATACAACAAAGAATAAGAAAAGACATAAGAGAAACCTGATAAAAAAATCAGAAAATTTATGCGTCTGATACAATTAACGTGTAGTTTTGCGTGGAAGATTATTTTTCATCAGTCTATCGGTAATCACGTATGCTTAACACACATAAACATGCATTACATGTGTAAACAGAAAAGGGACAATTGTTTAAATGACCATGTACTTGTAAAGTATCAACAAGAAACAACATTTCATAACATTACAACACGCGTTCTATTTGTCATTTCAAACAACTGCCAACTTTTGGCCTTAAGCAGTTTTACCTTATTACATTTTTTATTCACTCCTTTGATGTATTTGTCATCCATCACATACTATTTCCCATCTTTCTAAAAACAACATGTTGAAGTTCTACAACTGACTTTGCTAAATTTGTCAAGTTCGTCATTTGTTATCGTACATACATGAATTATATGTACATGTAATATATTAACCCTAACTGCCCAAAACCTGCCATACTCCAACAGCAGGTTTTGTGAGGTTTTGGCAGGTTTGGTACCCTACCTGAGGAACTTCTTGTTGAATTTTGTAAGACTTGGGATGAAAGGCCCAGGGAGATGATGTTGGATTCTGTGTGAGTTGGGACACACAAGGGTCACTGTGTGCAGTGTCTGGCTTGCTGTACCAATTGTTGGACTACGCTTGATTTTGTTAGGTTTGGTACTGTTCAGTGCAAGTCATCCTATACTGCATAGACCCATCCATACCATATCACTCAAACTCTAACAGGCTCATTCTGTGGGAGTTTATTGGGTTTGGTACAGTGACCTGCATGTACAAGTACATAGACAAGTACATGAACCTGTTGGATTTTGTGAGGTTCAGTATGCTTTCTAGTGCAGGAGCCTAGGGGGTTAGGGTTAAAGGAGAAGATGCATTTGTGCCCAGAGTATTCACTATTTCATGTTTTGTCGCTTTTAAGATAATCCTGCTCGCTTACACATACAACTGTTTTACTGCTTCTAACAATGCAGTATATAAATAGTCAACGCCGAATAGACACATACATGTAGCATGTACATGTATAAACAATAAGTGCATTATTTGATGCATGTACATGTATGTACCTGAGTTGAGGCAAGTCGTTCACAAAATCTGGTTAAAACACCTCTTGACTTGAGGAAACTGTGAACTTGGAAGGCAACCACAGGTCTTGGATGTAAACGCAGGGTCCGTGTATGCTCGTTGTGGTGTGCCATCACATTGGGAGAGTTGAAAAATTTCACCATAGCAACACGTGTTGCCACATCAACAGAGTCCACGTCATTGCCATAAATGAAGGGATTAAATCCTGTTTCATCAGAGAAATTCTCTCGGCGTCGGCTTATGGCTTCAACTTCTCCTCTGGATTGCTCAAAGTCTTTGATGGGTGGAGGACTGAGGCTCATACTAGCCAAGGCCTGAGTCAACAGAAAATAAATACATGTACCATTTATAAAATGCTCAGGAAACTGTTTGTTAAAATCTGAATGTAAATAATGCAATAAAATGCAATAAATTAGGCCTGGAATGTAAACTCCACTAAAACTAGAGACACACGAAAGCTGAGTACATAGACCTTAATGCACACACATGTATACTTCAGGTGTATGTGTAAAAGCTAGAAAATATCCTGTACATGTACAGTACAACCCCCAAAACCACTGCGGCTACATGTAGAACACAATGTAAAAAACCTCAAAGCACACCATAATACAGAGTTAAAACCTCAAGTTGACTGAAATTTTACCTGAGGTAGAAGGAATCAGGCAGAAGTATTGAAAAGGAATACATGTGTTTGAGCACAAAGGTGGCATGGCTGTGCAATAAATATACACATATTCATTTTGAAAAACATAATTATCAGTGGTTACACATGCACATGTAGGCATACATTGATACAAAGGCACATATACACACACACTTGTTACTGGGTTAAGGGACACGCATTGAAATATAACACTATGGGGACCCAAACCATTACAGAGGCATTTTTCCCCGCGCCTGGTCTCAACTAATTTAAGAAAGTAAATAGTCCCCTCACCGTGGTGAAGGCCTAACCCACATACATGTAAGTCCACACTGTGTCAATGTTTTAGGTTAAATGCTGTAATGCCCCTTCAAACTTGTTCGTTTAGTTTGATACACAAAAACCATCAAGCATACTTTGGATTATCATTAAGGTTCATGAAAGAGGAATACATTCATCGTCAGTTATAATGAGGTATTTCCCTGTACCCTGACATTAAGACAAGTGACTAAACACCATAGAGCTACACATAAAAATAGCGTGCTGACTCATGTACAAAGTGATGCCTGCTGGGCGCATCCATGTGCACAAACCCATGGAAAACTCAACATTTTGTACGACTTTTGTATAGCTATTTGCATATCTGCGTCTGTATTCTGAAACAACATGTCAACAAAGCCAAAACGCAAACAACTCAAAGGCACCATCAGTTAATGAGCATTTCAGTTTGTTCTGCACTAAAAAAATGCGAAACGCTGCACATGAATTTTGCCCTGACCTTTTTTCATTGGATTTTACCCAATGTGCACGACAGCCGCTGCTCCATCAAGGGAACATATTTTCAATTTAGCTGAACTTATTCATCCAAGGACAGTTGCTCTGAATGTGTGCATCTTATTCAAAAGACGCACTGGCATTCGCATATGTTGTACTTGCGCATTGGATTTAGAATATGTAATTCGATGTTCATTCTCTCTGATTTCGAATGTTCTACTAGCACACAAATGGATTCAAAATGTCTGCTACCGGGATGGAATCAAATTTTCTCCACACAGAGAATGTGAAGTTAGCGTTTTAGTTTTTGTATACACATGTAGCTCTATGATCAACATACAAAAAAATCAATGCAGGGTTTGTTTCCAAAATATTAAACACAACGCAGGTCTGGAAATTTTTCTTAAAGACACAAGGAAGTATTTGAATTTAAAAATGCACTCAGAGTAGAAAATTAATTTGTTTTCAAAAGGAAAAACATAAAAATAAGACATGACTATGAAGGGAATGACCTGTATATCTCCTGGTAATCCTAGACCTGTAAGATTATGTACAAATTATGTACAAATTTTTTCAGTACAAATATAGTGCTCGTAAAAAATGGGAAAACCAAAATGTGCATGTACCTGTTTGAAGTGTTTCTTCAGCACTGATCCTTCTGGCTCGGGCAATACTGGAACCTCTTCATGACTTCCACAGAATGTGATCTACACGATATAACAACATTTACATTATGCTCATCTGCTCCTTATCGTTACATACATTCTAAATACTCAACCATATAATGGTAAGTATGCACAGTATGTTTGTGTTAATCTGATAGTCACCTGTAATCCCACCCTATTATTTGTAGTAAAAAAAGTAAAAACTTTATCTTGCCAACAACCCAAATTTTAAGTTTCAATGTACGTATATCAGCAAACACAACATTTTTTTTCTAGCCTTATTACTACTATGAGTGATATATTATGAGTTTCAAGGGTGAAACTGGAGGTAGGCATGAGTTCTCTTCAAAATGGCTTAGGTTGTATAAATCTTTCACTTCTTTGAACAAAGTGCAATCTGCCCCGAACTGCAGTGCACCCTCAATCGGCGAAAAGAAAAACAGGTGGTTACAAGTGGGTTCTTGCACGCATTCTGCTTGTATGCAAAGACCATACGTGTCACAATAAATTAGTTACGCATCAAACACGCATAAACTTGCGCGTCAAACAAACATATACTCGCGCACCTCACGGCGCACCTACATGTATGCAGTGAGTACCAAAAAGTCACGCCCTCATTCGTTCCACTCAGAGCAGATAAAGTAGCAAAAGCTGAATAAAAATTCTGGGGTAAAAATCACTGAAATAAATCATGTGAAACCACAAATCTGCAAACAGAATGTATGGGTACACTATACATTTTTGATGCAGCCATACTTGAAGATTATTTTTGGTGGTTGAAAGGTATAAGACCAGGCAGAAATGTG